GCCTCGATCTGATAGCAATTTCCTTCCGAGTCTTATAAGGGTTTTTTGTCGCGCCTTAGGAAAATAGGAATGGTTTAAGATTGATTAAATGTTTGCATTTTCCTCTAGGCTTAATCCTACTTCAACTAAAAGTATGATGTTGGTTCCATTTCTTTCAAAGAGCGCAAACGATTCAGTAAACCAACTGATCGATCGCGAAGAAATGAAAACGAAAGTGCACTGAAATGCAAAAATATTTCACCAGGCCAGATCGATGTGGGCTAATTGTAATTTGCTAATCTTAAATATTTTAACACGCAGGAATTTCCAAAATAAATCGGGAAACCGTCGTTTTCCGGTGTATTTCTTTGGATTGCATACCTTTTTTTAAGTTCAGCATCGATGATCATTTATTGCGATGTTTGTTAAGAGCGTGGAATCAATTTGGTTATAAGAAGAGAGGCGGCTTATTCGTTTGGCTAGCTAGATATTCAAGAAATTTCCATATGGCTGGAAAATAATTTAGCATCGAATTTATTTTTCATAAGAAGAAGTGATAAACTTACCGAGGAAAGTGTTTCTCGAAAAAAAAACTGTATTTCCGCCATAGCTTGCCTCTGTTATCACAAGGCAAGTGCTTCGCGCTGCAGTTTCAGTTTCATTGCCAGGTCACAAGCTGTAATTGACCTTTTATGTCATAATGATCTATCTAAATTTACTGAAATTTCCTGTCTTCAGTCGAGTCAAAACCAAAGGGACTGAACGGTTTGGACATTCTAGTAACGTTTTTACGGCTATGTTTTTGTATTTCTGGGCCGTGTCACAGTTGTAGGGAATGTTAATGTTTGGGCTTCTCCGAAGTCAGTTTAACGACACCAGCTATAGGGGAATTCATGCTGACGTCATTGTTTGCATTTTTGCTCATTTGCATACGGTTTTGCACACAGAAGGAAACATGCTAGATATGAATTGACTCCAGGCAGCTAAAGAGCTATTGAAAGCTTAATACCTGATCCAATATTTAGCTCTTTGTGGATATGTAGGGCTATGTAGGACTATGTAGTGCTTTGTATGGCTATGTACAGCTATGTACGGCTATTTATGGCTATGTAGGGCTATGTAAGGCTATGTAGGGCTGTGTATGCCTATCTAGTGCTATATAGGGCTATGTAGGGCTGTGTATGGCTATGTATATCCAATATTTAGCTCTTTGGGTGTAATATTCGAGGAGATTTTGTCTTTCAAAAACTGCGAAATTTCTGGGTGGCGGAAGCGTTAACGAGCACCTACATTATTTGTAAAATTTTGAGTTTTTAAACCCGTATTGCACAAAAAGGATTCAATACATCTGGCTCGTATTCATTGGCGGAGTTAATCGTACTATGACCTTTCAATATTCAGAACAGATTTATTTTTAGCTCCATCAGAAACGGAATTGCTGATGCTAATGAGACAAATATTGTAAACAAGGATTCCCTATAAGGCCCTCACAGGCACCCTTGTCATGAACGCTTTGCGAACCTGAGAACAAAAGTAAAACAAAACTAGGAAAGCGGTAACAAAAGCATATTTTAGGGGATAGGTAACTTCAAAATCGAAGAAATCCTTTTAAGGAATACGAGAAACCAAGGAGACAATTTTCTTAGGAACAAAAGTACATTGACCCCTTTCAGAGACCCTTATAACTATAGGATTATTACTGAGAGATAAAAAATAATACAAGTTTCAATTTAATTTAATTTTAATTTATTACATTTTCACTGCAAAAAAGAAAACTTAGCTAAATTACATAAGAGAACAATTAACTACATACAAGAGAAAAAAAAATTATTGCAGTGGGGAAGGACTAGAAGGGAACATACGAACCATTCGAGCCAGTCCACCCAAAAACTACAACAGACACTCAAATAAAGAAAAAGAAAAAAGAAAAAAACTTAAAATTATATCTTAAATGTAAAAACTATAATTGATAATATGTCATATCCTAGATTAATCTAATCAGAAAATAATTGTTACATCGATCACTACGTCCAAGTGGCATGCGGGTGGTCAGGGTCGAAGCTCTTCTTTTCATAGAACTCATTACATTGTTTTTTAAACAATGATAGGCTTAAATTAGAGGTCCTGAGTTTATCAGGCAGGTTGTTCCATAAATATGGTAATCTATGAATAATTCGGTTCTGACTTTGTTATTAAATCTTTAACTTATTACTAGAATATGACCTTAATCTTTTGTCTGAGCAAAATTCAAAATATCTTTCAACTGAATAGTTATAGTAACCACACTTAGTTTATAAAATGTTTCAAGCGAACTCAAAGCACTTCTAGGTTGGGGATTCCAAGACATTGTTCGAGCCCTGTGGTTAAAGCTAGATAGATAAGATAAGATAATTTATTTAATGTCAGGTACACAGGGGGTGGTCTCCCAATCCCCCGAGCCACGGGCTCATGATAAAAGTGTTTGACAATATAAAAGAAAAATTAAATAATTAATATCTCAATAGCGACTAATTAAATTTGAAAAAATATATATAACATCTATCTATAAAAATAAATCGGGTCAAAGGCAATTGCTGCATTGACAGCCGATAAAATTTAACTTAGTTAAAAGTCTCCGAAAGGATGATGCATTAGGTGCGTTTTTTACAGCAGATGGCAACTGGTTCCAGATGTGCGAGATCATGTACGCATATGAACCATGAAGGAATCTACTATTATATGAAGTTTGTACAACATTTAGACCATTGCTTCTAAGATTATATGGTGTAACTCGGGGTTTGAATAAATTGGCTATATAGCCTGGACCATTCTCCTTGAAACATTTAAAAAATATCATTAAGGATTGTTCTATGCGTCTATGTTCCAAGGTATTCATATCTGCCATCCTAAGAATTGATTCATAATCGGTACTTTTCCCCATGTTCATTATAGTTCGTAGACCATAATAGTTCGCATCTTCCAGTTTCTTGTTAAGTGTTTTATCTATACCCATACGTAAAGAGTTGCAGTATTCAAAATGTGATAACACAAAACTCTTGTAAAGAAGCAACATAGTATTTGACGGTACTAAACGCTTAAGGCGGCGAAGTGCGCCTGTCTTGGAATATACTTTCTTCAGCATGATACTTATATGTTCTCTAAAAGATAATTTGTTATCTAAACATATTCCTAGGATCTTTAAATGGTTGTTGATATTAATGGGAGTACGGGCAAACTTCAGTTTCTCATCCGATTCTGGTGCCGGTGGCAGACGTCCCTATGACATCACCAGCAGACAGGGTCTCACAAACTTATACAACTCTGGTGTGAGTTCCGTAGAACACGTGAAAAGGCCCCTTGGGGGATCAGGAGGGGCGATAGGCATTCAGCACTCTGGTGTCGTGGTAACTACTAACAGTGGAGACCGCTGGCTTGTGCACAAGGGCTCAGGATACGGAGACTCAAGTAATTAACGTTACTTCATAATTCATAATACTTGTCCCTTTTTGCTTTCCTTAGTAAAGTTACATTGACACAAATGAATCTATAAAAAGATCCCGATTGTTTTTCTGTGAGAAAATAATTATTGTTTCTTTTCTTCTACTTGTTGTCTCTAGGCCAGACAGTAGTCACAAATGCCAAGCACATGAGTGGAGCCTGGACATCAGCAGGTGCTCAGCCTACGCGGCCTGGGACTAGAGTAGCAGATTACGTCAAAGCTGGCGGGTCTAATTACAACATGGCCTTTGACAACTGTCATCACGGATCGCAAAGAATGATGGATGTTGGAAAGGGAAAGCGTTAAATAACGCGCTATAATGAGATCTTAACTCGTATTCATACAGACTTTTTCTGTGCTTTTTTGCTTGCTTTAAGGTTTTAAGGTGCTTTGAAATGAAATTTTCTTAGAATTAGAAAGTTAAGATAGTGTTTAGAAAAATGACATTTTCCCTCTAATTTACACAAAGATTCAAATATCGTGCTGGTGAAATATAGAATAGCCTTATTTCGCCATAACTAGAAATAGCCTTAGATGTTACAGTAACAAACTACCTCGAACAAGAAAATTCCAGAAGTGTAGCAGCTGTCGTAAGCTGCTATTGTGTCATCATTGTAGCAGCTGTTATTGTTTTAGGGCTAGGGGCATTGTTTCTGTTGTTTGTTCTGTTGTACTCTCAAAGGGTTGCAAGTCATTCATGTGAGACCTTACGACAGCTGCTACATGACCCGAAAATTCAGGAACCATGTTATGTGATTTATCGCTCTGGAGGAAGAATAAAATTAATATAACTCGTTGACTTGGAACACATGAAAGATATCTTACTGAACTAAGCAGACCAGCATAAACTGTTATACGGTAATTAAGTCTAGTATAAGCATTAAAAGAGTTGTTTGCTGTGCTTATACATTTTCGAGAAGTGACTTTTATGTTGCTCACAAGTTTTCCCCATGTGATGTTAAGTGGCCAACCAATTTGCTACATGTCATGCCACATTATTCCCCCAGCCGCTTTCTCTGACTTTCATTGTACTTTTGTAGTGAAATAAGTCGCATATGTTAAGGTGTAGCGAATGGTCCTTCAAAAACTGAGGGCCTCTAGCTTATTCTTCACGAGTCTTGCAGTCTCGTCTTTTTCGTGTTCAGAATCGTCTCGCAGTCTCGAAATCTCGATTATTTTTGCACAGCTGGCGAAATCTATAAAGGTCTCTTAGTATTCATTTCTGAATGATATCATCGCGTTACTTACTATCTAATGATAAAAATCGTCCGCTATTCCATGTCATGACGAATCGCAAAGAACGATCTGTCCGGGGATTTAAACAAAGTGAGAACTGCAGTGTTATAAATTGATTGTCTACAGTACAGCAACCTAAATCACTACCTCGACAGTCGTTAGGTTCCGCGATAACCTTTTTTTTTTGAATCGGTATTTTCGAGGGGTAAGTCCACTGATGCTAACCAGCTTTATACGCTAACTTTCATCTAATACCACTTAATTGTCCAGCTAAAAAATTCAGGCTTATATACTGGTTAATGCACAAATATGAATGCAAAACTATTAATCCTTATAACAATTAATATTAAGAATATCACCAATATTTAACAATATAACAGTATTAACAAGAAAAACAAAAGTACCTGTACTCTACAGATTTTACCAAAAATCATTGTGCATGTCTCGACTCTCTTCGCTTTTGTTTATATCTTGGATGTTACAACTTTATGTATTACGTCACGTAGTAATTCGTGTAGCATCTCATATACGGTTTCGCCAGGTATCGCTAACAACACAACATGAACGATGAGGAAAACAAGAATACGCCCGAAAGTTGAGTAGTGTATCAACAAAAAATGTGTGCAGAGAGACGGAGATGATCTGTTAAGGACTGATACACTAAAAGATGAGTTACACACAAGGGTTCCTTTGCTACTCAAAACAAAACGTACATCAATAGTACCACCATATATGTTAAGAGTATGGGTAGTTCGGCTAGAATTTGCGTTCCCTTTACTGATGTTGTCCAAAAAATGCACTTCCACATTCAACAATAGCATGTAATGTATCATACTTCCAATAACTACCGAGCTGCAAGGCTGTGCTCTAGGGAAAATTTCAGGGATTCGGGCTCCCAAGCATTTTAGTTGGGGTGCCCGGGACTAGAAGATCTGGATGGTCGCCCAAATAAAATTTTCAGGGAGCCCTTCGGCCTCCTAAACCATTTTAGCTGGGGTGAGCTGTTAGTTAATTATTAAAAATTAAGCAAATCATTTCCTAAACAAGTCATGCAGAAATTTATTTTGTGAATATTTTCTTCATGAAAAATCACATCCTTTGACCTCCAGAGCGTGCGAAAAAAAACCCGCAAGTTGTCATATTTTCGAAAGCATGGATAATAGATGAAAGTAAGTTTTCGCACTGTATGAGAAACATGGGCAACGCCAGGAGCCGCCGAATATTTAATGTTTTTCGAATGGAAAAGTAAGATTCTGCTCTGTTCATGTATTTTTTCTAACATTTTTTGGGTCAAAAAGAAGGGCACTATTCTTTTTACTGATCATTTTGATTTAGGTTGAAAAGAAAATTCGCTTTAATAAGATTGACTGAGATCCTGTGGAGCTTTCCGGGAAAACTGCTATGATTTCAACGAAACCGCGGCCGCCCCAAAACTATTATCTTTTTTGAATAGATTATCTTGTTGGAAAGTCGTCGTTGAAACGCAGAACACTAGTATTTTCTTTCTATATTATCGGTGAAATATTCAAGACAAATGAGCTTTTTGTGGATAGCTGTACTTTGACCGCTAAATTTAGCTTTTGCGTATTTATTTTTAGTACGGAATACGCAATGACTCCTCACGAAACGAAAGACAATGCTAGACTTGTAGATTTATTCCCGTTTCTAAAACATCACAACAATAGTGGTATCTTTTCTTTTTTATATATCGTATTTTACTGGAATATTAAACAATCTTAAGTTATGTTTTAGCCTCGCAGACACAGCAGTAAAACACCGGTAAAACTATATTTACTTAACCTCAAAGAGGGACTCCCGTGCTTATTCAGCGATTTTTTAAAATACAAAACTATTGTTTCGCGTCGCCGACCGTACTCTACGCCTGTGAGAGCAAAAGTAACAATTTCTTTTGAAAAACTACCTAATGAACCTTCCTAATTTGAAGAAAAAATGTAAATGTTATTTTGAAAAGTTGTTTAAAAATAGAAAACTGTGCAGCTTGTCACGTTCATAGTCAAGGATTATATTATGTTACATGTGAATTCACGTGGAACGACCTTCGAAAACTCATTGAACATCAACGCGCGCCCGCCGCCCGATTTACATGTAATTGCGAGAAACTGGCAAATCTTAGAATTTATAATTAGCTGGCCTTTTGCTTTGGTCACTGTATTTATGTCCATTTCCTCTGTAAGACTAACCTGCAATTAGGCGGTCATTCCTTTCTTGTCCTTTCAAAGACGAGTGGAAAAGGAAAAATTCGCGGACGTTGTCGCTTTCCCGGAAGTAAAAAAAAAAAGAAGATGAACGGCCGATAGTCCGTTCCAGGCGTTCTGATGGTGGGGACGGCTGGTCGCAGGTTACTCTCAGACCTTCACGGTTTTTATTTTAGCTTCGAAGTGATTTCGTTTTACTCCTCCTTCTTTCACATCTCTCAATCCCTTAGAGACATTTTTCAGACATTATTTCGCCATAACTAGAAATAGCCTTAGATGTTACAGTAACAAACTACCTCGAACAAGAAAATTCCAGAAGTGTAGCAGCTGTCGTAAGCTGCTATTGTGTCATCATTGTAGCAGCTGTTAGTGTTTTAGGGCTAGGGGCATTGTTTCTGTTGTTTGTTCTATTGTACTCTCAAAGGGTTGCAAGTCGTTCATGTGAGAACTTACGACAGCTGCTACATGACCGGAAAATTCAGGAAGCATGTTATGTAATTTATCGCTCTGGAGAAGAATAAAATTAATATAACTCGATGACTTGGAACACATGAAAGATATCTTACTGAACTAAGCAGACCAGCATCAACTGTTATACGGTAATTAAGTCTAGTATAAGCATTAAAAGAGTTGTTTGCTGTGCTTATACATTTTCGAGAAGTGACTTTTATGTTGCTCACAAGTTTTCCCCATGTGATGTTAAGTGGCCGACCAATTTCCTACATGTCATGCTACACTATTTCCCCAGCCGCTTTCTCTGACTTTCATTGTACTTTTGTAGTGAAATAAGTCGCATATGTTAAGGTGCAGCGAATGGTCCATCAAAAAATGAGGGCCTCTAGCTTATTTTTCACGAGTCTTGCAGTCTCGTCTTTTTCATGTTGAGAATCGTCTCGCAGTCTCGAAATCTCGATTATTTTTGCACAGCTGCGAAATCTAGTTAAGTCTCTTAGTATTCATTTCTGAATGATATCATCGCGTTACTTACTATCTAATGATAAAAATCGTCCGCTATTCCATGTCATGACGAATCGCAAAGAACGATCTGTCCGGGGCTTTAAACAAAGTGAGAACTGCAATGTTATAAATTGATTGTCTAACAGCAACCTAAATCACTACCTCGACAGTCGTTAGGTTCCGCGATAACCTTTATTTTTTTAATCGGTATTTTCGAGGGGTAAGTCCACTGATGTTAACCAGCTTTATACGCTTACTTTCATCTAATACCACTTGTCCAGCTAAAAATTCAGACTTTTATACTGGTTAATGCACAAATATGAATGCAAAACTATTAATCCTTATAACAGTTAATATTAAGAATATCACCAATATTTAACAATATAACAGTATTAACAAGAAAAACAAAAGTACCTGTACTCTACAGATTTTACCAAAAATCATTGTGCATGTCTCGACTCTCTTCGCTTTTGTTTATATCTTGGATGTTACAACTTTATGTATTACGTCACGTAGTAATTCGTGTAGCATCTCATATACGGTTTCGCCAGGTATCGCTAACAACACAACATGAACGATGAGGAAAACAAGAATACGCCCGAAAGTTGAGTAGTGTATCAACAAAAAATGTGTGCAGAGAGACGGAGATGATCTGTTAAGGACTGATACACTAAAAGATGAGTTACACACAAGGGTTCCTTTGCTACTCAAAACAAAACGTACATCAATAGTACCACCATATATGTTAAGAGTATGGGTAGTTCGGCTAGAATTTGCGTTCCCTTTACTGATGTTGTCCAAAAAATGCACTTCCACATTCAACAATAGCATGTAATGTATCATACTTCCAATAACTACCGAGCTGCAAGGCTGTGCTCTAGGGAAAATTTCAGGGAT